CTTTTTAGGTTTCGGGATTTTCAGATATCCCTTAAACCAGCCGAGATATTGCTTGAGTATTCTTTATATATTAACTGTGTGGAGTGTTTATGCTTACATAGTATATTATTCGACGATCTTGTTTTCACTGAAGAAAGTGTTCAATGGTTTATTGACAATTTTTATGGTAACAATGAGTTGGTTTGTAACGATAATATCCATAACTATCACCATTTGCAAACACGAGGTATATATTTACTGTTTTATTTACTGTTTTCGTTTTAATAATGTGTAATATTTATTATTTAAAATAGGACACATAAACAACGTACAATAGCACATTTTAAAAATGTAAATTAGCTTTAATATTATAAATAACTTTAATGTTTAAAAACGTGTAAAATATATATATAAAATATATGTAAAATATATACTCAAATTACTTATTATAGATTAAATTATTTTTTTAGGAGCTTAAAACTTAAAAAATTTTGTTTTTAATATATCTTGTATTAAATAATTTAATGTACAATTTTAATAGACTTTTTATCACGTACATTGCTTTACAAATAAAAGTATCATATGTATATGCATTACATTAATTCCAAAAAACATCTTCTAATTTTATAAATTTTCTTGACGCTGTCGTTCTCAGACATACCGGCAGTATATGAAAAAGTTGGATCTTGTAGATGATACATTGGAAGAGCTCGGTATACCGAAGGAATATCAAAAATTGCGAAATTTGACAAGATATGCATTGATTATGTGGTTTTTAATAATCTGTACATCATGGACTTTCGATTTTTTATTGAGCATAGTAGCACAGGGTGATATAAGAGCCATACTTATTCCTATCGTTCTGAGTTATTCAACATACGTTAACAGCATCATGGATATAACATTTGCTCTTCTTTTAAGGTTTACAAATTTTATCTCATTATAATCATTTTATAATAACATTTATTTTAAATAATTTGACTCAAGATAAATTCTTAACTTCTTGAAATAAATGTAACACACAAAGTACAACACAGATTTAATTATTCTATGTTAATGTCATATTTCGTAAATAAGCATTTTTCTACATTAAGTCTACATTATCCAATCATGTATGTTAAAAAATTTGTAATACATTTCTGTATTATATAGACAGTATAAAAATTTTGTATTTTACAAAATTATAAAACTTTATGTAAAAGAAACTAAATGGATAAGTTTTTCATATTTTTACTCTATTATACGCCTACAAAATTTAATTATGTTTTTCTTAAATATTTTTAAAATTATAGATATATTGGTACAAGGCTGGATAAAATAAATAGCTGTTGTGAACAATTATCGGAAACAGAATTCTGTGGATTAAGGTGCATGTGGAAAAAAACTCTTGTTAATAGCCACTATATTCGAAATGCTAAGAATCGTAAACGTATATTATGGACCGTAATGTAAATTTCAAATTTTCTTATTTATGTGATAAGTATAACCTTTAATTGATATGACTAAATAAATTTATTTGTTTTACCCGTTAACATAATTCTTACAATTCGATAACTAGAGTGCAAATCTAGGGGGTGATTGTATATAACAATTAAATTTTAGGAAAAAAATTTATATTGCAATAGCAATTTCGAAAACGGTTTGATCTCTATTGAAATCCTCTTTAATTATGTCCATTAGAGGCAACTGAAGAGAATTTCAACCTAGATATCGAAGTCAATTTTGAAAATCGAAATCAGAATATAATCATTTGTACTACAAAACTATTTAATTTGTCGCATGTACAACTGCATCCCAGACTGTCCATCGAATTATAAACAATTTCTATAATAATTTACGTTGTAACAAATCTTTTGATAGAAAATCAATTTTAAAACTAATTTAAATCAATTATATGTTATGTATATGCCCAGCAATCACCGAATATAACTGATTGTAAGATGTAATATAAATGTTAAACGAGTATATAAAGTAGATACATCTGTGTTTGCTGGGTACATATGTGTGTGTTTTTTCTAATACCTATATTTATTTGTTTATTTATTAGCACAATATTCTTAAAAATATTCTTTCTAGACATCTTCATTCGGAACTTTGTCAAATAGCTCACAATATAAATAACTTCTTCGGAATACAAATGACTCTACAAATGATAGCCTATTTCGCTGTCTTAAACGCAATGTTTTATTTTAAATACTACATAATATTACACGCAAAAATAGTGTTTCAAACTGATTTGGCAATATACATATTGCTTTCTAGCGACGTGTGGTTTATTATATTTATGATAAAATTCATATCATTAAATCACATTTGTGAAAGCGTTAGCACTAAGGTAATTTTAAAAAAAATTATACAAAAAAAGTAAATAATATAATCTTCCATTTCTTTGAAAGACTAATTGTAAATAATAATTACATTAAAACAAATATTAATATAATAAAAAAATACATTTTTTAATCATAAAAATAAAAAATAAAAAATTTAGAAATTTCTTTTTTATGTAAAAGTACAAATATAATATAAGTATTAATATAGAAATAATAATTATTATGGATGTAAAACGCTATAGTAATACTATATTATTTCAGGCACAGAAGACCAAGAATATTATTTATAAATTGGCAAATCTTATTTATTTTGACGAGGTACGCGAAGAGGTAAGATAAGTTCCAATATGACCATTTCTTGACTTATATAAGCATATAATTTTTATTTATAATCTTTATATGATCTTTACTTAAATATATTTAAATAAAGAGTGCATATTATGTAACGCAGATTTACCAGTTTGTTTTGCAAATATCCTTACGGCCCTTGAAGTTTAGCGGTTTGGGTCTATTTTATTATGGCTATGGATTTATTCGTAAGGTTAATCATTAATATCATTCATACCTCTATAAAACTTAACATACTTTGATATAAAATTACAAATAATATTTCTGTTTCATGTTTCTCTTTAGTTCTTCGTTTGGATTCTCACCGCTCTTATTTTTATGGCGCAATTGGATTTTGCTCCTACATGGATCTAAATAACAGAAATAATATAATGTAGTATTTATAACAAATAGTAGGACACAATTGTGAAATTATTCACATTAACTTTCTAGCTTATTATTCAATATTTGTATTTTTGTTTAGTATTGTAATTTTCTAAAGTTATAAATAAATATAATAATTTATAAAATATGCAGTGTAAATTACAGTAAAGTTAATTTAATATTTTTTATATATTACTAATGTATTTTATGTATTATAAATTTATCACATTAAAATTTATATTGTTTATAAATTGTACGTATTTATTTCTATTAAATAAAAGCTTCTTTAATATTAATACGTTACAATTTGATCAATTAATCTTGCAATTTATAAAACAATAATTTTTTTTTACTTGAAATGTCAATCCATATTAATCATAAAGACATGTAGATAATGTTTAGAAATTGACTTTTTGGGTATAAAACAACTACTTATTGTTAGTTCCTATCTGTCATATAATTTTAATAAAAATTCTAATATAAAGGTAAATATTTTAAATGAGAAATGTCTATAAGCTATAAACTATTTTACCATCATTAGCGTTAATGGTGTCAAGAGACATAGATCGACTACATCATTGTGTATGTTTACGGAGAAATTAGATAACACGTAATGTTAATGTATTGATCTACGTATAGTATCCCGCTGCTGTACAAATTATCTGATTAAACACAATTCAACAGACATACGATATCAGTTGATGGTAGAAACTACAATTGTAAATGGTGACTACTATACAACAAGCTATAGTTCTTTACTTCTGGCCTTTCGCGTTTTCGGGTTAGGCATCCATACTCTGGGAAAAAAACTTATTTAGATATTTTTTACAACACTGTGGATCACTTATTGTTGTCTTTATTATTATGTAGTGGTTGGACTCAAAGCAGAAAAATGGTTTCAAATAAATTATAATCTAATCAAAATTACATTGAACTCACTCGTTAGCATTATATCTATTTTCATAAGTTCATATCAATACAAGGTATGTATGCATACGCATTCAATATACACTTAGACTAATTGTAAGTTATAAAAAAAATTTTTAATTTATTCTATTGTAAGTCTTTACAGCAGACACTTAATAGGTAAACTATTTAAATAATTTTTACATAAATACGATTTATAAATATTTGTATTTTTGTATAATATTGTCCAGAGAATGCGGATGTTCATAAAAAGACTTGGTACTATAGATGATACATTGGAAGAGTTAGGCACTCCTAAAGTATATGAAAAGTTGTATCCTACCAAAACTCTTAAAAAAAAAAAGATTACGCCAAGTATATAAAAAAGTATCGTAAGTTACATTCTTCCTAAACCAAAAATATTATTTTAACAGATAAAAATTATCCAAAACCAATTATGAGATCATACAAGTTGCCAAGTATTTGATTAGACATAGAAACAAAAATTTCTTTTTAATAAACCGTTTAATCATCCAAAAGTACATGCAGCAAAAGTTTAATGCCGTTGTCTTTCCAAATATTTTTAAGTTTCACAAAACAGGCTTAAAGTGACTAAAATGACCAATGGGATCACAGTGAAGCAAAAATTAATCAATTAAATATTAATCCTTGGCGTGCCCGGATTGCATCAATATTTAATTGATAAGATATACACAAAATGCGGGCACGCCAAGTTTTTGCTTCACTGTGATCCCATTGGTCATTTTAGTGTCCACAGTCGTGGCGCGTGGCCGCGGTCGATTATAATCCGCCGCGCGGACCCAGTCAGGACACGGGCGTATTCAGGCGAATTTTCCGTGAGTGCCTCGCGATCCCACTGTATCGGCTGGGACCCCCTGCGGGCATATCCTACGCCTTTCACCACGGCGCGGCTTCTGCGGGTCGTTCCGATAGCTCTCGGATAAACCCGGATCCTTGTAGAATCGCTGGATTCGCCGGCCGTCTCACCCTACCCGGGTGTTGCGCCAGCCTTCCTCGCTGTTCCCCGCTGTGCTCCTCATGCTCGTCGCATGGCCACGTGCCCGGATCGTGCGCATTCCTTTCCTCATCCTCTGTCAGGAATTCCGGTTCGCGGGAGAACCTTTCTCGCTGTTACTTCCCTCGTCGTCTCCTCTGTTCTCCTCGTCATGGCGACGTTTACGCCCGGCGAGACGTCCAATTATACAAAGTACAAAAAAAATATAAAATAAAATAAATACTGCGTGCAATATAATTTCTAAGTCCCTGAAGATCCCGGTTTTGTTCTTTCTTTAAATGTGCCGGCCCGGCATCAGGCGCAAACCCTCCCTATGACGGTGGCAGGACGCTGCTTCGCTGCAGTGGACTGCAACGTCACAACTCTCCTATACACCAAGAGACAGTACCGGCTCAGATATCCCCCTTTAATCACGAGCTGCCAAAGAAGTTGCTAATGCGACTTTTATAAACGACACCGAAACCTCCAACGAGAAAGCTTTTCATAATGGACAAACACAAATAATTTGATTAAGCGAAAAAAAAACGAATGAAATCCTAGTATCGGGCTTCCCGAATAACACTTACCCCCTTTGACCGAGACTCCTGACTCTCGCAGCCGCGGAACGTCGGCATCGCGTTTTCCCGTTTACTCTCGCACGTCTCTTCCTTTTTCATCGTCTGATTTGCGACGAGCAAGTGTCGGGATAAGCCAGGTGAGGAATAACGGAAAGAGGGAGAGGGAACATAGTCAGATAGTTTTCATTACCCCATCAGTACCAAAAAAATTACATTTATTTTGGTTCCATCATACAGGAACAAAGTTTACTGAACAAAAGAAGAATAAAACGAAAACAAAACAAAAATTAATATTAGTCCCTTCGGCACCCCAAAAAAAGAAGACAAATGGAAGTATAAAAAAAAATTCAGATTCCATCCTTCGTCGGCCGATACGCTAACTCCGGAAATAAAAATTGTTCAGGCGGGGGTGGCGCACGGTAACTTTGCGCGGCTCGACAACAACTTTTCGCTAATAATTCTAGCGAATCTAAATCGGTGACGGTGTGTTGTGGTACACCCAAAAAAAAATATTCTAGTTATAAAGTGAAATTTCCTCTAATCCCATATTTTAAGCAAAAACTTTTACAGAAAGAGTATTCCTGTTCCAATAAAGTGAACTGTTCATCTAAAATCTATTAGATATTATTTTTCGGTTTTCCTCTTGTATTAAGAGGAATATGTTTTTTTCAAGCGGAATGCTCTCTTACGTGCGATATGAGTAACACGAAAAGCAATGTGTATCGCTGCGTTCTGCCGCGTGACGATTGATTGAAGTGTTGCGCTGCATTTGCAAAAACAGACGCAGTAAGACTGCGTTCCGTTATTCATTGTACATACTGAAAAACTACAGTACAAATAATGTGCATTATAAATATAGATTTACAGTACAAGATTTGTACTGTAAATGCAAGACGAAATTATTCTAACTATTAGAATATTGTGCACAGAATATTTTCCTCTTAATTTCAGAGGATTCCTCTTGAGGCCATATACAAGAATAAAATCCTCTAAAATTTAGCGGATTCCACTAATATTAAAATTATTTTTTTTTTGGGTGTAGCATTATCTGCAAACGCGGCAACATATTGTAATGAGCATAAATGAACTTCTCGGCCTCGCTCCATGGTGGCGACAAGCAATCGAATAGCGCTATGAGACAGTTTAGGTAATCAAGAACGGATTCGCGCTCCTCTTGCGTACGTCGCATGATCTCGTCGTGTAGCGCCAATTGAAAGTCCGGATCCTCGAAACGTGTTCGCCATGCCGTTTTAAAAGCAACCCATGTTGTTAGTCGCGACCGTTTTCCGCGAAACCAATGAAACGCGATACCCGACAAACAGAAAGGTAGGCACCGTAAGACATCCTCGTCGTTCATTGGAATCAGTTCGCGCACATTCTCAACAGAAAACAAAAAAGTCTCAGCGTCTTCTCCGTGCGCGCTCGAAAATTTTAAATTCCATTCGTGCATTATCTCGAGAACGGCGACTGCCGAACTCTGTGATAAACGGCATTTACCCCCGTGCGAGGTACCGAGATCGAGTTGCACCCGCGAGTCTCCCGCGGCCTCGAAAGGACTATCCGGTCGAGCAGCTTCCTCCTCAGGGAAGCCCAGATGTTCGGAGTCAGACATCTTCTTTGCATCAACAACGTCTACCGAATGTCAATTCGAACGAGTTGTCCGCACGCGACGCAATAGTCGAAGCCCGAGCACGGAATCGGAAATGTCGGTCGGCAGTCTTTGTCGCTCTAATTCGGCGATCAGCTGTTCGCAACTCGACTTAAAAATCCACTCCTCATCGGGTTCATACGGTCGTTAAATTATTCCAACGCGAAATTTGCGATATTGAAAATCGCGTATTTTCCATTCAATTATTAGGCGCAAAGATGATTCCGAGAACGAGACAAAAATGTGTTAACTGGCTCTGTTATCCGAAATATTTTGCCCACCCGAAATATATGTGCGAAGCTCGACCTTCGGACTTGAATTCCGTTACGCGTTTACGAGCTGAAATATTATATTCACCAAATATTATAATCGGTAAAGTTCCGCCAAGGACGAATTCCAACGTCAAAATTGAATCTTGTAAATGTTCGAGATAACTGTTTCGTCACTATCCGAAACGGCGGTAACAAACGCGAACGTCAAAGTCGAACGAGTAACTGAAATCACAAGACATAAGCAACAGAAATAATCAGATTGTAATATTTCAGCAATAACATGTATCAGAAAAAAATATCAAGATCAATGAGAACGACACGTCAAAAAATCACAATAATTCATACATAAGTCGAAAGAAAAAAAAACACAGAAGTTTCTCGCCAAGCCACCATCTGCGCTCATAAAAAATATTTTTTAACGGCACATTTATTACAGATAATTAACAAAAAAAAAATAGAAAAGAGAAACAATAGCGTGATACATCAAATATAATTGAGATCGAGTAATCAAAAGGAAGAGCGACGCGATTTAATTCCGCGACGGACGCGTACGCGAATTGCACTAGCGACAGCGCGAGACGTTCCGCGAAATTTGGTGACAATTCGCTACCGCACGCTCGATGACGAAATTCAGTCGGCGCAATTGAACGATATTTTTGATTGGAAGGATCGTTCGATCTATTCTACGCGAAAGCCCTTACAAAGTTTCGCCGGCAGTGGTGTAGCTCATCGACGGCACGATACCATTCGTTTCTCTATATTTGCACAACGTACGCAAACACGCATACTTATATCAGGAAAACGCGATCAAGTACGCAACACGACGTACGACACGCTAAGAGGTCACGGAATATAATCGATTTACAACACGATGCACAATCTACGAATTCACTTCGCCACGAGATTAACATTAAGTTTTTCTCAGTTGCTGCTGGACAGAAATTTACAAAAATCGACGCACCATCGAGCGCTCGTTTCCGCGCACACGGACACGAATACATATTTCTCTTGACGCAACTCGCGCGACAACGCGAAGGCTTTGCGACTCACCCACGACCACAACATCTCCACATGGAAAGAACGATTTTGTTGAACGGTCTAAAAAATCTTGCTAAAAATAGATCTAAAGATAATTTTTTATTGAATCAGCAAAATAATTTGTTGGAATGTTAAAACTGATATGTATTGCTATAAAACGTTTTGATATTCAAGCAATCATTTTGACTTTCGCACAGAATAATTTTGAACAAAAATTATTTTCAGATCTGGATTCAGCAAAATTGTTCTTTCCGTGCTAGAGGCTCGTACGCGAGATTTCGGATCGCGATAGCCGACAGCATTATAAAGACGAAAGCCCTTTGCGCTTGAGATCGGTCGCCTACACCCAATCGAAAATTAATGCGTTGCCGTAAGAGCGGACGCGACACCAACACCAAAAGGGCGAGTTTGATCACAGAAGCGTTTTCGACTTGCTCGTGGCTTTACACAATTACGGAATAGAGGGCTACCTCACCGATACGAACTCTTCTTCGTCACCTCATGGGTTTTCTGCATGCGGGTCGCGAACACGTCTTCGTCCGGGTCGGGATCACGTTCGGGCGTACTCTTTATCTCGCTTTCTCTTTCTGATTTCTCGTATACTCACGTGTCCACGCACGCCGCTGGTTCGAACGTTTTTTCTTCTTTTTCTTCTTTTCTATATGGCCTGCCCTCAGGCGAGGGTCAATACAGTCAAATTTTTAAAACTATGAGATAAAATACTTAAGTCACGTGATGAGATACTGATACGGATTCAGGAATACTTAATCGTTGCGAGGCCCTCGCAAGAAGTTTTGCACGCAAAAGCGACGTTATAAGTCGTGCTCGATAGTCGATACGCGATCGATAGACTGACCTCTTGCCTGGGGGTGCGCATGAGTGTCGCGACGCGTGACCGCAGCCTATTACGACTCGCCGCGCGGGTCCAGCCGTGATCCGGACGTGCGCGGTCGATTTTTCGCGGGCCCGCGAGGCTGCCCGAAATTATCGATGTGTGAGCTGATTATGAAGCGTCTTGCGGACGCATATTTCCTGCCCTCAACTATAGTGGCTCTTCTGGCTCGTCCCAAAAGCTCTTGACGGTTGCTCTAGGTCACCTGAAATCGCTGGCCGTCTCGGTTTATTCAAATGTTTGACTCTCTTTTTAAACAATAATCCTTCTTTAATTTCGATTATTTTGATTATTACTATCTTTTTACTTTTTTCTTAAATTTTTTTCTCCGTATTCTTCTATTTAAATTCTACTTCAATTTTTTTCACTTACTAAATCTTCCCTTTTTTTGTCTCCAAATTTCTTATTCAATTCCACTTTTTTCAATTGTTCAAACAACAATTACTGATAGATCATAATAGATGTTACAGAATAGTTACAATTTAAATATTTCAATTGTTTGAATGCTACTTTACCGAATTAATCATTGAAATCGTCTCTTTTTTACTTTTCTGCATACATATATTTAACTCTTATTTCCTCTATTTTTGATTTTTTTATTCACTAATTCTGTATAATTCCATTTATCTTCATTTTGATGTCCGGTTTATCGCAAATACAAAAAAGAAAACAATTTTTTATCGACTAATTACAATATAGGTATATAAGCCCATATTTAAAATACACTTATACTATGATGTTAATGTTCTAACAAGAGAGTGTCTTCTTGAGAATCTATGTAATAAACACTATATATTAAATGTGTTAATAATGAAAGTGATTATAATGATATTAATCATTATATTCACTTTCTGAATACAGTAATATTGACAATGAAGATATTTTTAAAATTTCTACAAAAAATAATCGCTTATTGCCATCTGCACGCTATTTAGAAAATGTATGAATATTTTATTTGATCAAGAGATTATGCATGCTCATTGTCAGATAATTCACAAACTTAAAAGACATGTTTTAAAGACAATTTCTTTAAAACATCTTCAAGATTCGACGTACACCTTCAAATTCAAATAATAAGAATTCCAAAGATGCTAATATATGTGTCTAAAATTTTTAAATAAATATTTTGCTAACTACTTAATAATGGTTTATTTTATTTCATACAAACAAAGAGTTTACATTAATTAAAAAATATATAAACTTTCTAATAGAAAATTAAATATTTAAGTTTATAATATTGATTAATTTTTATTACTAACAATAAATGTAAAATATAATAGTATTATAAGATTTATACAATTGATATAATATTTTATTAATATAATATTTTCTATATTTGTACGATAAATTTACTTTTTTAGATTAATATAAATTACTGCTAATTGCACAATAATATTGTAGTGCAATTAATATTAATTGCAATATCTACATGCAATGCCTGTTGATATTATGCCTGTTTGTTTTTACCCAATTTAGATGTATGATTATAATATAAATTAATAAGTATCTTTATTGTAAGGTATATACTTAATAATATTATGATGAGAATAAAGAATAAAAATGCATAGACATCGATTAAATTCTGTTCTATCCAGCTCTGAGATCTAAGCGGCGTTGCTAAACTTCCATTTGGATGACGGACGGAGTATTCAATGCTCCAAACAGCTAAATCTAACGGCGATAACGGTCGATCACGGAATTCACTAGATAACTGTTTCATGTTTCTTGCATAACTGCAAAGATGTTTTACTATTAATAAATGTTCAAACTTACGCGTTTTAAATAAAGAAAAAGCTATAATCAAGACATAGAAAAATTTTTATTATTAGTTATTTTATGGGCAATCATTTTTAGAAGAAATTTTTAACCAAGTTATACAATTTCATATTTGTTTAAACGTCATTTAAAATATTATATTATTTGATTATATAATTAATTTTATATTTAAACAATAATTATGATATAAAAATGTAATCACAATATAAATACAATGTAAATACAATACCTTTCATTGTAAAGTATTTCTTCAATTGCATGCAATACATTCTGTACGGTCAAAGTTCTAACGTCCAAATATGTGCCAACGCCTTTATCTACTAATATTTCTGCATTGGATTTTTGGTCCCTAAAGAAAGGCATTACGATCATTGGTACATCTTTCCAAATGGCTTCGTACACGCTAAGAAGACCACCATGCGTCCAGATTGCTCTCACATTTTTATGAGCTAAAATAATTTATTATAATAAATTTTTAATTCTTAACTATTATATAATAAAAATTTCCCATTAAAATAAATATTTTATTAGTTGTAAGTGTCCCAACTAATTAATGCAATGTACTTTTTAATCAACAACATTGTCACTCGTAAACCATTTTTAAATAATAAGCAAATTTCTTATAATGAAACCTCAAAAAACTGACTTGTTATTCTAAAGAGAACATTTGTAAAAAAAATATAATTGTAATAATTAACAACTGAAATTGTCTATAAATATACTAGATAGATACAAAGAAACGGTGAAAGAAAATAAAATCGTTTAAACTTTATTGTGAAGTAATCAGATAATTGTAATGCAATAAAAAAACATCCTTATATTGTATTTTTATTTTTAAAATAAACTTTACTATAATGAAATTAATCACACAAGAACGAATTGTTTAATCTACAAAGTATTTATATGCGACGTTTATGCGTACGTCTACTGCGATATTTTATTGTAACATTGGAATGATGATTCAAGTAACAATTCTATCAGTAGTACACAAAAAAAAGTGATTTTGTGACCGCAAATATAGATCACATTCTACTCAACACTATATTTAAAAGAATCATATTATAACACATCTTTGTAAACGTTTTAATTGTTAATAAAGAGAGATTAAATTATAAAAAAATATCTCAATAATTAACGGACTCCTGAACTTAAAAATATATTTACAAAAAAAGGACTATAAGGAGTCGACGCAGTAAACAGTGCGCAAATTTTTTACATTATGATCTTGTAATATACACAGCTTTTCTATCCGGCTAGGGAACTGATTGGAGAAATTTTAGTTAATAAATACATTTAAGATCTTGGATCGATATTGATAGACTGACGATAATTAATAAACCTCATCGAATTTGTACGCTGGAATTTAGTAATTTGCTACACTAAGGCTTGAACGGAACTGAAACGTTTAGAATAAAAAATTATATCATAATTATTCTGTAGTATTTTATCATAATTATGTATTAAGGTTTGAAACCTTATGAAAATTTGCGTATTTTTAATTATAAAATTAATTAAAAAAATTAATTAATTTTTACATTAAAAAGCAAAAAGCGTACTCAGAATTTTGTTTTGCGGCATCCATTTTACAATCATTAGATTATCCGGTATTTCAAATGGCACTTTAATATCTAGTTTCCACAGCACTCGTTGCTTCAATTTCGATAGAGCCGATATAACGATCTTAATCTTGTCTAGTCCGATAAATTTCCATTTCACATTTGTTCCTAACGATATTATGATGGCTCCATTCTTTGCTTCGTCAAGAAATGTACGCATATTCTGCGAAATAATGGTGAAATAAACATTTTGATAATATACACATAACTTATTGCCAAAATAGCTAGTCGTAAATAGAGATGCGTACTTTCAAGTGGATTATATTCAAGCAAAAAGTCATATCATTTAATTTATTCATATGAGATAAATAAACGTTGTATGAGATTCATACAAGGTTCACTTTATAAGTCATCTTTATAAATAGAATATTATTTTAAGAAATATTTCTAAATTTAGCAATATGCCACGCAATATTTACTCTCTGTAATTTATTCTTTGCTCAATCATAAAAAAATAAAAAAATAATTAATTACTAAACATAAATTATATTATAATATAAATAGAAGTTTCATAATTATAGGTATTATATTTTAATTTAAATCAAGATTTCATTAAATTTCTATTTCCTCAGTAGGCACAGTTTTTTGCAAATATTTTTTCTACAATTTTGTCTGGTTCTCAATTAAGAAAAATTACTTTTACCTCGGGATACGTTACGACCTCGTCGGCAATCGGTTGCACGGTCTGAGCATTCAGTCCAGCAACCTCCAGAGCGTTTGGCGGTAATGGGATCCCAGAATAGAATACAGGATGACTATTGATTAGTACAATATTAATACTATCTCTTTCTATTTCATATAATGACCTGATTGCACAGCCCATGTATTTCTCAGTATGCCGTTGAATGGTAGGCAAGTAATAATAATGTCGTATGACATCATCCGCAACGAAATGTAGAGCATTCCATGTTCTCTGCCATAAACCTACGGGCTTCGCAATGGGTACATGCGGGTAAGGTCGAACAGTTGGATAATTTGGACCACCGATATAATCCTTGACCCAAGGTGCAGGACCAAGCGGAATATATCCCACTACAGGTGGCTTACCTTTAGCAATCTAACATTGACATATAGTGATAATTGAAACAACTAAAATTAAATAACGGTTATCTTATAACAACCAGGCAAAATAAATTAAATTAATCATTATTCTATAGAAAAAGCTCGTTATTTTTATTAACAAATAATGCAAAAATCATATGTATATGTTTATATACATACATAAAGATAAATGCTAGAGGTGTGCGAATAGTTCAAATTCGAATCGAATCGAATCGAATCACAGTAGATTCGATCAAGTTCGTTTTCGAATCTGCAAGACTCGGAATCGAATAGTTCGAGAATTTCAAATCAACAATGATTCGATTTCGAATCGATCGCCTATTTTATTTGGTTTATTTCATCTCTCGCGCGATCAATTATTCTTATCTAATAAATAAGTATTTTTGATATATGTAATGTATTAATATAGATTAATAAAATATTTGAAAGCATTCTAACTATTCGTGTATAGACATATTATTAATATTTTCTTATTCAAAATGTCACATAAGATCATGATCCTTTGTAATGAGATGAAAATCGAAAACAGGTCTTCAGTTTGTTTAAATCATTGCGTAAAATAATGTAAATAATGTAAAATCATAAATTTTGATATTTATTATATTTAAATTAACATGTAATGTAAATTTAATTTGAATTCGGTTGTAGAATAATTGCTCTATCACGTCACAATTTCAAAAAATTTGCAGGTAAAGTTGCAAAAATGGGCTATTTTTATGTATGTTGTTAGTTTTATGTATGCATAATATAATTTTGAAATGCGACGTGCTAGAGAAGTGTTCTTGCAATCAAAATTAAATATGTTGTTATGACTTTGAATCCTTAAAAGGAATTTTTTGTGTCCGTTATGAATAACAAGTTATTTATTTATTAAAGAGTTAAATAAATGCGTTTTAAAGCCGACGCAGTTTTTGTAGCATAAATGTTTCTTTATTATAAAATTGTAGTTTTGACCTCCGATTTGGGTCCTTTTTAGTACAAGTTATTAACAAAGTTATTAATGAAATCAATATTAACAATAAAAAGATACGCTTCAACGCCGTAAGCTTCGATATCCTATTCGCTCCTTCGTTCATGGTGATGTAATTAGAAAACTGATGTGTCAATTTATTGGTATAGATTTTATAAAGTCTGTAATGCTGTGAATAGTGTAAATAAAACTCTATATTGTGTATGTCAAATAATATAAAATAGGTCGATGAGGTAAATGAGATTAAACTGAAAAAACTGAGAAGTCAATTATAATAAAATGAAGTATAGGTACTACAAGGAAACCACGCAAAGTGTTAAATTCTGATTTTAATGTAAATATTTATATACTTATATATTATTATTTATATTTATACTTTATATACTTATAGGTTACGTAAATAGATGAATTTAAGAAATATCAATTGATGCTATAAAACGATTTGAGAGAGAAGGAGTGAAATCACCTTTTATATGTAAAACAGTTTTCAATTCTTTTCGTTATATCTCGAAAACTATTCAAGATACCAAAATGTTTTATACAAAAATTTTACAGTAAAATTACTTCTATTTATTTACATTAATAGTATTTTTTTTTAATTATTATTTTCAATAATTTTTAAAAAAATAATTATTAACGTAAACAAATAGAGATAATTTTACCGTAACACTTTTGTATAAGACATTTTTTTATATCTTGACTTATATTTTTCGAGATATAACGAAAAAAGTTAAATATCGCTTTATACTAGAGAGAAAAAACGTATGTGATTCAAAACAGTTTTTCCATCGCAACTAATATTTTGTAAATTTATCTATTTACGTAGCCTATATGTATACATTAAAATTAGTACTTGACGCTTAATTTTGTTATAAAACTAGTTGTATATTTACACATATCGGTCGAAAATAGTTTTATTATTCTCTGTGACAAAACGCTGTCATTTTGATATGCGGAAATGATAGCGTTTTGTTACGGAAAACAATAAAACAATATTCGATAGAATAGTTTAAAAACGTGTGTGTGTGTGTGTGTGTACGCGTGCGCGGGTATATGTACACAGATAGGTTTTACTGTACTTTTTGTCAGCTTCAGATTGAAAATGTGGATCCCGCAAAATAAGCAAAATTGGAAGCTGTTTGGTAAAAGTGTCAATAATTTAATTTACATCTTTTTTCCGCAATAGACTCTATGTTTAACAATAAATAACTTGTTAACCATAACAAATACAAAAAATTTCTTTTGAAGATTGAAAGTCCTAACAATATACTTAATTTTGATTGCAAGATCATTTCTCCAAAACGTCGCATTTCGAAGTTATAATATGACAAAATACATAAAAATAGCCCTTTTTATGACTTTAATTGTAAATTTCTCAAAATTGTGACGTGATATAGAGCAATTCTACAACCGAATTCGGATTCAGCGTCCAAAACAACTTCGGGAAAAGAGTCTCGCTATATGATGTTCGGAAAGAAGTCATTTTTTGTTGAACAGTATTATCACTTTTTACGTATTTTTGCGCATTTCAAAATATCCAATGCTTATTTCAACTTGCGTTATAAAGATTATCACTGATATGAAGAATGACTAAGCGCTTGCTACGTAAACACAACTTGCAGATTTATGAGACAACTTTAGTCGCTCGCAATTTAAAGGTGGTTTAAACAACTATATTTTATTAATTAGCTAATTATTTTAACTTTACCTCTAATAAGCCATACAAACATTCCATTATTGTGATATTTAACACTATAACATCAAACTCGACAGACTTTATCATTTCTAAAAGCTCCTTTGCCGCTTTAGTTTCTATTATTGTGTCGCATGCATGGATCTGCAAGTAGTACATAAAATATATCATATAAAGTGAGCTGTGCTGTGCCCATTCAGCGAAATTCAAATCTTCAGATCCTCCAAATTCATTTATAAAACTATCGAAAACCTGAAAATAATAAATAGATACTCTACAGGAAAAAACATATTAAAATGCGAAAATAATTAGGATCTTTTCAACTATACATATATTGATCTCAGGTAAAATATAAAACATTTTTAAAACAGAAAATAAGTTACATTTCTTTCTTATTTGTTTTATAAATTGAAAATAAACAATTTCTATTCAGGATATCTTCGAGTATCGCAAAATCTGCATAGTGTATCTTTTAAATAACGCCCACTAATTATATAGTGTTTTTTGTAAAAAAAAAAAAACCTAGTTGAAAAGTCCTGAACAATTTTTTTTACCATGCACAATGAAGAAATTCCTACTGCAATAATTATATAATAGCTTCATTGAACATTGTAGAAAAAAATAGTTCAGAACTTTTTGGCTTAATTCTTTATAAGGAATAGTGCTATATAATTAATATAATAAACGCTATTTAAGAACAATTTTGCTCTACGTACAGTGCCCAATGAAACAATAATTATATTTCAGTAGTGATCGCGTCATTGTAGAAGGAAATGGATCAAGATTTTTCCACTCAGTTTTTTTTACAAGAAGAATAATACTATATAATAAATGGGCGCTATTTAAGATACATCCTCTTGATGTATACTTACCGTGTACGTCAAATTCTGCGCAAGTTTATTCTCGACCTCAGTCTCATGTATGCTCACTACGTGTACATGATGACCCTTGCGAAGCAGTTCTTTAATTAAATTCATTACCCAAATGTGGTGGCTGGTTATTGGAACAGGCTGTATCACTAAAATCGACAATGGCTTCGATGCTGTCACGAAGCTGATTAAAACACAACAAACAAGGCTGGACATCAAAATGAAACAACTCGACATTGTTGTAGCAAACGCACAGCAGTCTTTTACAGTAAATCTTTTACTCAGTAGTCTCCCAATGAAATTCTAAAATGAAATGCCTCATCGTCAGTATAACTGATGGTATCCCTCCTCTTTTCATGTTAAAATCAGAAACATGTATCGTAATACCGCTTTATGTAACAGGCTAACAGAATTAATATATCATTGTTTTCCGAATAACTTAACTAATCAATCATAAAAAGGGAAAGAAAAGAGTTGTATGAATAAGCCATTAATAAATGTGATGTGTGTGTGTGTGTGTGTGTGTGTGTGTGCGTGCGTGCGTGCGTGCGTGCGTGCGTGCGTGCGTGCATGCGTGCGTGCGTGCGTGTGTGTGTGTGTGCGCGCGCGCGCGCGCGCAAGTCGCAATATCTAATCGTTCCCTACTATCATTGTTTAATATATATTAACATATATACATATCTATAGTATTAATTATTATATATGTGGAGACGTTTGTAAGCAAATCATACGACAAAACATATGCTAATCAAAGCAGCAAATTGTATGTAATTGTATTTATAGACAGTTTGAATTATTTATTCTTGTTAAATTGTAAAAGTTAAACATTGTTCTTAATACTTAAATCACAAATGTTTATCTGAATTTTTACTTTTTATTTGGACGATTCCAAATAGCGTTTTCACAGACAAAGAGCCAGACCAAAATTAGGTGTTTTTTCGTCCCTTTTCTGGACTTCTAATTTTGAAGCAAATTTTGTGCCAAATGATTAGTCATGATGAGACAATAATCGCATAAAATTTTTGAGTTGAACATATGACTGGTTTGCGAAATAGAGGGGATCAAAGTTATGCCTATTCTTTGAGAACTTATGACACTATATTGTGTTTTTATTGCCCTAATATTTATGTTAAAAAATAGTTCTGACAATATTTTATTGTTTTTTGGGTCGCTGGTTACGAATCTGAAATCTAAATTCCAAAATTTAAAATGGCGGATCCAATATGGCTGCCCGATATTTGCGAAATTCAAAATAATCTGAATATTGCTTTTCGGGGATCTTTTAGATTGCTGATTATGAATCTAAAGTATGAATTCCAAAATTCAAAATGCGGATCCAATATGGTGGATGCAGATATGTAAAAACAAGATTTTTGTGAAAACTGAAATCTAGAAAAATTACGCGTTGTTCACACTCATCTTTAAAAGATTATAAAAAAGAGTCAAGAAATGGTTTGGGGGTTTTTAAAGGATGACTTTAGTCAAATTATTTTGAGATCGGAAGAGCACACGT